CTCCGGGTCAAACAGGGGGGGTTTGCCTCGGTGCCACCCTCAACCGCTATAGCCACTCTGACAATCGTGAGACTGTCGAGCGGTCACAGGAAGGGAATGTATGTGCCAATGCTCATTTCTTCGTCCTCCTTGTGGATTTCTTGCTTCGAGACGCAACCTCCTTTGATGCTTCTCCAGCGGCCTTCCGTTTTTTCTGCCTTTCTGCCATAGCTTCGAAAGCTTCTTCAGGTGGCTCATCATTTTTGCCCAGCTTTTTTCCTCCGCCGCACTTGCTCTCTAATGCTTCCATGAATGCATCTTGTCCTGCGCGTCGGGCCTCCTGCCGCTGCTGTATCAATTGCAGCAGGTCCATTTCACTGCCAGTATCCTTAGGTCTCGCCTGAACTTCCTTTTTCTTGGTGGCACTAGCTTCCTTCCCCTTCTTAGGGCGTTTTGTGCTCTCCTTGCTGGCTTCTTTAGCCTCTTTCGATGCCCGCTGCTTTCGCCGTTGTTTCTTCTGCATCGACTCCTCCGAAAAAGCCCTGTACTCTTCAACTTCTCCTTTTTCGATTGCATCCCAAATAATATCGGAAAATCGTGCTTCATCTCCTTCTCCGTGGACTGTCGCAGCTTCACTCAACATAACTGTGTTGAAGACTTTATCCATATCTCCTTCATGGATTTCATATGCCTTAAGTAGATCCCGCCGTTCTTCTTCACTGCCCTTATACTCCGACTTGAATTTCTCAATTGTAGCCTCCAAGACGGCATCTTTATATGTTGTGTTGAAAAAATCCACCCAGTTGGCTATACCATCGGCATCGTCGAAATCAGCAGTAGAGCCAGTGGCATCATATCGACTCCGCCTTTTCTCATCTGAGAGGACAGCATAAGCGAAAGCAACCCTCTGGAACGCTTTGTGGGCTTCATCTTTCGAGCTTGGACTGGCAGAAGGAGGGACCTTATCGGGATGGTGCTTCAAAGCTAGCCTCCTGTAGGCTTTTCGAATCTCCTGTTCTGTTGCTGTTGAGGGAACGCAGAGGACTTCATACAAATCCAGATCTTCGTCCGTTAGCTCTTGGAGGGATGGTATAGAGCCTTCCTGAGACATTATGTGAATCTGATTCAATGAGACCTTCTCTCGTATATAGAATTGATTCACAATTGTATTGGGTTGGAGTATCGAGGTTTCTTTCTCTGTTTGCCGAGCTCTATGACGCTGGAGTCTGTCAGCCTATGATGATCAGGGCAAGATGCCACCAGGAAGAGGAGCTCACCTTTTTGTAACCAGCTTCTCGTAAGTGAATTGAGAAACTCCTCGTGCTATTTTCCGTCTTCTGCTCGTTCCCTGTGTGTTTATCAATTCGATATCGCATCCAATTTCGAAAATATACTACACACGCGTCACGTCGCGTCGCGACCGCGTTTCTTATACCGACCCGGCGACGTCGTCCATTGCAGGTCTCGACGATCCGTACATTCGCTCATCAACTGACGCTGGCAGCGATGGGGATACGGAATGGCTTGACTGAATGGATCCTGCAATTGGCAGTGCTCATGCATGGGGTACTGGGGTACCACACACATCTTCCTACGACAAGCATCACAATGGTGACGTTCAATGTTATGACGCTTAGCACCGCGCGTGAGACATACTTCACGGCCTCCTGCTCTTGGAAGATGGCCTGACTGGCTGCTAACACTTTGCCAGGCGACGTGTGGGCTTTCACCATCTGACTTCTGAGGAGATTGACAATAAGAACACCTCGAAAAAAAAAAATCCCCAAAAATATGAATATATCAACCACGTTGATATGTCCCCACTGAGGATCGAACTCAGGACCTCCGAATCACTTGTATGTAGTGAACATATGAGATCGGCGTCATAACCAACTAGACCATAGAGGCAATAGCCTTCCTTAATAACGTCTTATTGCAATTATCAAGCTTAAAAGCCATTTGGTGAAGGTCGAGGTTTTGGCAGTGCAATCAAGCTGCTGTGTATTACAGTTGTTGATTGCTGCTCTATGATTGGGGAGCGGGAAAAGCCTGATGCTTAACCAACGGGCCAGAGAGACTCCAATCGAGGCGGCGGGTCCGCAAAGCCGTTGAAAGTCAACTGGTGTGGCTCCGAGAAGCTACATATAGTGGAGCTACGGACGTGGACGAGCCATGCCTGTGGTACATAGTTAGAAACCCCTGTTACCAGCACGACCCTCCCCCATATCGAAGTGCGAACTACGCAGCTCTTGATTGTCATGGAATAGAAACTTGAGTCTCGTTGCTTTCAGCGATGTCTTGCGTGATTTGCAATGCCGGGCTACGCCGATGCCGGGGACATGAGGTGCTGATGCGATGACCTCAAACGGATCTCTGAGCACGCAATTGAGTGTTTCCTGCCGATTACTGGCATCGCAATCCGCTGGTGTTGGACTTTGTTTGGCCAGCTTCAATTCAGCACTACCCCGAGCCTAGAGTTCTAAAGCGCTTCTCGGCCATGCTAATCATCATCTCGAGATGCTTCTCACGGTCGGCTGTTCATCCCGGAGCAAACCGAACGGATGCTGATCTTATATATTGCATCGAGGCCTTGGGGGCCAGGGTTGAGGTCGATGGTTTCTAATCACCGAGGAATCTAGGTTTTCCAAGCAGTTTGAATCATCGATTGATTATTTGATTATGACCCCTTCGTCGAAACCGAACTTCCTCGTCATTGTCGCCGACGACCTAGGGTTCTCCGATGTTGGCGCCTTTGGCAGCGAAATCCAGACTCCCAACCTGGACGCTCTTGCTCAAGATGGGTTGCGCTTTACAGACTTCCATACCGCCAGCGCCTGCTCTCCTACACGGAGTATGTTGCTGAGTGGAACTGACAATCGTAAGCTCAAGCTTCAGAGAATGACTGAAGGATAACTCTGGAAATATTTTAGCTAACTTTGGTTTCCTACGTTAGACATTGCTGGGGTAGGCGCAATGATTGAATCGATTCAGGAGTTCCAAAAGGGAAAGCCTGGGTACGAAGGGTATCTGAATGATAAAGTCGCTGCTTTGCCTGAGCTATTGCGAGACGCAGGGTATTATACATTCATGTCCGGCAAATGGCACTTGGGTCTTGCCCCTGAAAGATGGCCTGTGGCTAGGGGATTCAAGAAATCGTTCAGTCTATTGCCGGTATGCCTCTGTGTCAAATATATGCATTTGTCCTTGGGTCACAGAAAGCTGACAACAGTGAATTCAATTCGAATGACAGGGTGCTGCTAATCATTATGGGTGGGAACCGCAGCTTGAGAACGAAGAACAAGGCGAGGAGCGCCCCCCGTTTTTCTCTCGGACAAATGTTTTCTATGTTGAAGATGACTCTCCCATTGCCCCAAAAGATCTTCATTCGAGAATTACCCCTGATCGCTCGGAGTTCTATTCAACCGATGCCTTTGGTGACAAGGCCCTCGACTACCTTAACAACCGTTCTGACGAGGAGAAGGAACAACCGTTCTTCGGGTATCTCGCCTTCTCATCCCCACATTGGCCCTTACAAGCTGCATCTGAGGATGTCGAGAAGTATAAGGGCTTTTACGACGATGGGCCCCTAGCACTGCGAGAAAGGAGAGTTAACAGATTGAAGGGATTAGGTCTTGTCCCTGACCATGCTGTGCCCCACGAGACTATCACTCCGCCTTCTGATAAGACACTCTCCAAGGAGTGGGAAGCATTGAGTGATGATGAAAAAAATTTTCGTCTCGGTGCATGGAGGTTTACGCCGCCATGGTTCACAGAATGGACTATCAAATAGGACGTGTCATTGATCACCTGAAGGAGACTGGCGAGATTGATAATACTTTCATCCTATTCATGTCCGACAACGGGGCCGAAGGCATGTTGCTTGAAGCGATACCAGTGATCAGGGGTGCTATCTTTGACCATATTCAAAAATACTACATTAACTCCTTGGAGAATATTGGGCGATATAATTCATATGTCTGGTACGGACCACATTGGGCCAGCGCAGCAACCGCCCCGTCAAGACTCTACAAGATGTTCACAAGTGAAGGTGGCATTCGTGTCCCGTTCATCCTGAGATATCCACCTCTCACCGCGTCTGAAAATCAAGAAGAGAAGCCACGGGATGGCATTGAACATGCTTTCTCGACTGTTATGGACATTCTACCCACAATCATCGACTTGGCGGGTATATCCCATCCAGCACCGACGTACAAAGGTCGTACTGTCGTTGCCCCAAAGGGCAAGTCATGGCTTCCATATCTCAAGTCACGTTCAGCAACAAAGGCTATTCACGATACCGACTATACTCATGGATGGGAGCTTTTCGGTAGACAGGCTGTGCGAAAGGGCAAATGGAAGATCCTCCTGATCAATCCCCCCTTTGGACCAGGAGAGTGGCAACTATATGATTTGGAAAGCGACCCTGGTGAGACGAAAGACTTGAGAGACCAGCACCCTGAGAAGGTAAAAGAGTTGCTAGCAGCATGGGACGAGTACGTGAAGGACGTTGGGGTTGCAATGCCAATGCAATATGGAACATTGAAAGTTCAGGAAACAGAGACAACGGCCACGCCGCCCCCTAGGTAGAAAAGTAAAGACATGCTGCAATGTAAATAGGATCTGATGACGTTGAATAAGGACAACTTGTGTGCATTATCACCGACTGAGAATCGCGGTCCAGCCCGTTCAGGACTTCCGGGTATGGGCCTGATGTGATATGGCTATGTGAATCCTCTTCATCACAATAAGGAAATTGCAGGGGCAACAGGAATGTTGCATCCGTATTTTCACAAACAACGATATTATTTGCCGCGCTATTAGCTCATCTCTTTTTTTTGTCCTTTTTCTTCTTCGACTCTCCACCTGACCCGGAG